GAGGCAATACCTTTTCAGAGACTTTGTTATACAGGTTGAGTATCCTTTATCCCAAATATTTAGTATAAGAAGCTTTTCAGATTTTGGATCCTCACCCCGATTTTTGTAATACCTGTATATTATACATAAAGTGTGGAACTGTATTGGAGATGCCCAGGGAGACTGCAAATGAATGAGTAGAAGCACCCCAGCAGTCACTATTCAGCTCATCCTTCTTCCAGCCCAGGAGGCATCGCACAATCAGCAGTGTGAAGAGCAGGATCAACAATATTGTCAGAGAGGAAGAAAAGGATGAGGCGGCAGAAGAGTGGTGAGGAGCAACAGGAAGCAGCAGGAGTTCAGGAAGGGAGGTCTTTTGCGGGTTCTCTCCCCTCACTCTTCTTGGTCGAGAACCTCTCTTGGGCCAGCATAGAGGAGCTCCAGGCTAGATCTCTGCAGAATCAGGTCAGCACTCAACCTCAGCAGCATTGGTAGTTTCTCTCAATGTGCTAAGTTTAAGCAGTGGCAACAATAACAACAAATTGAAAAACCCTAACTCCTTCTCAGGGTTGGCCAGCTTCAAATTTTCTCCCAACTTCTCTTGTGGAGGCAGGGGCTCTCATGAAAAGAGATGGGGTGACTCGGCTGGGACACATCCTCTTTCTCTTCCTCTTCTTTGATGCACTGGCCTCACATTTGCCTCCTTATGTGCACAGAAAGAGGTGTCTATGTCTCATGTTAATAAAAGAATGGTGAGTTGGTGGCAATTTTTTTTAGTCTTTTGAAATTTTCCAGATTTTTGGATAAAAGATACAAGGTAAAGGTTTTCCCCTGATATTAATTCCAGTTATGTCAGACTCTGGAGGCTGGTGCTCCTCTCCATTTCTAAGCCAAAGTTGGTGTTGTCCGTAGACACCTCCAAGGTCATGTGGCTGGCATGATTGCATGGCACACTGTTACTTTCCCGCCGGAGCGGTATTAATCCACTCACATTTGCATGTTTTCAAGCTGCTAGGTTGACAGAAGCTGGGACTGACAGCGGGAGCTCACGCCGTTCCCTGGATTCGAACATGTGACCTTTCGTTCAGCAAGTTTTGCAGCTCAGCAGTTTAACCCACTGTGCCACTGGGGGCTAGAGATGCTTATACAAAAATGATATGTGAAAGGGCTTGCCTGGTTTACCAGAAGTACATGTGATCCTGGCAAAAAAAAAATTTCATAGAACATAAATCACAACTGATGAGAAGAAAAACAAATTTCAATGACACTTCGCTGCTTTTTTCTATAACAGATCATGCAGCACATGTATTATTGAATATGCCAATGAAGATGAGAATTCCCATAGGAGAGTGACTGAAATTAGTCTCCATGTTTTTGTTTCAGCAATGATATGTTTACTGGCAGGTTGCATCCTCTACTACAAACCTATCAGGAACACTGACACTGACAGAACAAAAGTTTGGAGACTGATAATGAGACTGCAAAAACTTGGAAGTCATTCTACAAGTTCCCTATGCTGGGAGGTTAAATGGCAAATGTAAAGCATGAAATAATTATGAATTGCAGATTGCCTGCAAAGGTACAGAGACTAGATACAAGCATAGGTGGCAATATTATGGTTTGATGTATCAGTTGGCAACACTGTAAAGGCAACAAAGATCAAATGAAAGACATTCCAGAGAACTGCAATCAAATGAATTAAATTATACAATCTTCCCATGCTGAGCAATATGTACATACTGGCCATTATCTACATGGAACTCATAACTATATAGACATTTTCATGGATGAAACAACTCTGGAAGTGTGGTTAACCTTAGCAAGTTTCCACACAGGAGAGAAACATTTAGTTCTCTCTTCTCATTCAACATCTGGAAACAACAAGCATGCAGACATCAACAGTGAGATGCTCAAAATAAAAGGTGTCACAATAAATTGTCAAAGTTCCTGTAACACTGCCTGGAATGTCACATCAGGGATATTACATTTTATATATAGAACCAAATTTTCCATATTAGCATGCAACTCATAATATAGTTTACAGCAACACAGAAACCAACCAGTTTATTTTGAGCAGCGGTGGTAACAAGAAATATCTAACCCTTTAACATCCTCTTAGAACAGTGCTTCTCAACCTTCCTAATGCCGCGACCCCTTAATAGAATTCTTCATGTTGTGGTGACCCCCAACCATAAGATTCTTTTCATTGCTACTTCATAAATGTAATTTTGCTCCTGTTATGAATAATAATGTAAATATCTGATATGCAGGATGTATTTTCATTCACTGGACCAAATTTGGCACAAATACCTAATATGCCCAAATTTGAAAACTGGTGGGGTTGGGAGGGTTTGATTTTGTCATTTGAGAGTTGTAGTTGCTGGGATTTATAGTTCACCTACAATCAAAGAGCATTCTGAACTCCACCAACAATGGAATTGAACCAAACTTGGCACAAAGAACTCCCATGACCAACAGAAAATACAGGACGGGTTGGGTGGGCATTGACCTTGAGTTTTGGAATTGTAGTTCACCTATATCCAGAGAGCACTGTGGACTCAAACAATGAGGAATCTGGGCCAAACTTGGAATGAATACTCAATATGCCCAAATGTGAACACTGGTGGAATTTGGGGAATATAGTCCTTGACATTTGGGAGTTGTAGTTCCTGGGATTTATAGTTCACCTACAATCAAAGGGCATTCTGAACCCTACCAAAGATAAAATTGGTCCAAACTTCCCACACAGAACCCCCGTGACCAACAGAAAATACTATGTTTTCTGATGATCTTCAGCGGCCCCTCTGACATCCCCCTCACAACCCGCCTAGGGGTCCCAACCCCCAGGTTGAGAAACACTGTCTTAGAAACACCCCAATAAAACCATAGCCTTTTGGATTTGGAACCACAAGTTGTTATTTTTTAGCTTCTTTCATCTATCTATATTAAATTCAAATAATATAGTGTAATTTGTAACTAAATCAATTAATTAAAAATGCTGTTGTTGAGTGGTTTCTGATTTTGAGATTAATCCAAATGATAATAGGATTGCGTTCTACTGATATAACTCCTTTGCATGTCGTACTCATCTCCCCAGTGCCCGATAAGCTTCCATAAATCCACACAGCAACCCTACATTATCCTTATTACCCACCAATGAGGAAACTGACAGAATTGATTTGCAAAAGGCCACAAAGGAGGTCAGCGCCAGCATTAGGATGACAGAAGGAGTGGCAGAGAGGAAAAGGCAACACTATTAATAGCAGGCACTCTTTTACACTTCAGCAGGTGTAAAATTCAGAACCTTGCACGGATGGGTGACATTTTAGAACAGGAATGCTTTAAAGTTCTGGTTTCAAAAGATGTCAAGGTGTTTCGAGACCGCCACGTTTTTCCTCAAAGAATCTGGAATGCTTTTGCTTCTCTAATATTCTCACTTAACCTTGTGATAAAGTGAAACACTGCATACATCATTCAGGTTGTTTTATTGCCCTAAGCATTCCATGAAGAACGAACTTTCAATATGTGGACTCAGCCCACACTACCTGAAATAACATAATGAATACGAGCTGGAAAGTATTAAGAGAAAATAGTAGCTTTTGTATATGTGTCCTTGGAAGGAAGATCGCTTGACTCCGGGTAATGTTCCTTCTTTTCAATATAAGACATATAAGAATGCAATATACATCAAAATCCTTTGGAGAGATTTTTTCCCCTTCTACCAAATGCAGTGATATATCCAATTGTTTCCACTGCAAGGCTTTCCAGGAAAAAACAGGAGGTAGAAGTTTTTAACCAAGATTCCTTTCTAGAGATTTACATGTTTAAATAACTTGCTTACTTTCAGACCAATTCCTTATCATGCAACTTTGGAAGTAAAGAGTAATACACATTTTAAAAAACCCTTAATGCTGGACAGAGGGGAATTTCTTTGAAAAATGAGGGATTATGTGATGGAAATTAAAAACGTCACTCATCCATGATGCTCCATAAACCTATAGTCCAGTGTTTCTCAACCTTCCTAATGTTGCGGCCCTTAATACAGATCCTTATGTTGTGGTGATTCCCAACCATAACATTATTTTTGTTGCTACTTCATAACTGTAATTTTGCTACTGTTATAAATTGTAATGTAAATATCCAATATGCAGGATGTATTTTCATTCAAGGGACCAAATTTGACACAAATACCCGATACGCCCAAATTTGAATTCTGGTGGGGTTGGGGGGAATTGATTTTGTCATTTGGGAGTTGCAGTTGCTGGTTAACCTGCAATCAAAGAGCATTCTGAACTCCACCAATGATGGAATTGAACCAAACATGGCACACAGAACTCCCATGACCAACAGAAAATACTGGAAGGGTTTGGTGAACATTTTTTGGAGTTGTAGTTCACCTACATCCAGAGAGCACTGTGGACCCAAACGATGATAGATTTGGCACAAATAAATATGCCTAAATGTGAACACTGGTGGAATTTGGGGGAAACAGACTTTGACATTTGGGAGTTGTAGTTGCTGGGATTTATAGTTCACCTACAATCAAAGAACATTCTGAACCCCACCAACGATAAAATTGGGCCAGACTTCCCACACAGAACTCCCATGGCTTGAAGGGACAAGCCTCCCTCCAGCCTCGCAGCTTTCCCTCGTCCGCACATGCGCACCACGTTGCCATACGCCAAGCATGCCTGCTCTCCCCTCCCAGCTTGGAGTCTCAGAAACAGCCCTCCCCTTGGCTCAGAGGCCAGTCAATCACAGCAGAGGAGGGCTTTTTGTGGGATGATTTGCCATTTGTTTCTGAAAAAGAAGAGAAGGACAAGCGGAGAGATCTTCAGCCTTCTCTGCCAAAGGGGTTCCTAAGAACATCAGAAACATATGTTTTCTGATGGTCTTTGGAAACCCCTCTGAAACCTCCTCATGACCTCCCCCCGCCCCAGGGTCCTGACCCTCCAGGTTGAGAAACACTGCTATAGACAAAATTAGACCACAATTAGAAATGCCCAAAGACTCAATGTAGCTCATTTACAAATATACTATTTATAATGAATACATTGATACAGAATGACTTATAAAAAAGCAAGGCAATTTTTATAGACATAACAATCAACATTACAATAATTCTGAAAGTACATTTTTGTAGACTGTTTACACACTTTCATTTTCAATCACAAATCAGCGAGGCCTTACTATTAAACAGGCAGAATCCTGCACTGTCCTGTTCAAGACCCAAACACTGAAATAAGAAACAGAAAAATCACTTTGTAGAACAACGAAAAAGCCATCCGATTTTTTTTGCAATTATCATCATTAGTAATTGTTCTACATGTGCCTTTTAAAGTTGGTGTGTTGTGCAAATTACTGCCAAGTGTATACCTAATCAATTGCAAGGTTGACATGCGCATTAAAGATACAATGGAAGTGCAATATTGACTATACAAATGCTCCGCACAATTTAGATTATTTAAGAGTTACAGAGACATTCTTCTGATATCTGAAGAGAACAAATCTGCTCCAGTGTCCCATCCCCCAAAAAATGAATAACGCCAAAAATGCTATTTCGGAATTTGTCTGCCTTTCTGGCAGAAATTCAACCCCTACAGTTCTCTCTTCTTCACAAGATTCGGCGAAACAATTTTGGGGAGCGAGATTTCCTCCCAACCTGACATATTTGCAAAGATAACTGCGGAAAATAAAGTCTGAAGCATCAAAACAATAAAATGGCAAGCCTTCAGCAGAATGCAAATTTAAAAGCATTCCTCAAGAAATATGGACAAAGGTTGCTGTGAGTTTTCTGACCTGTATGGCCATGTTCCAGAAGCATTCTCTTCTGATGTTTCACCCACATCTATGGCAGACATCCTCAGAGGTTTTAAGGTCTTTTGGAAGCTAGGCAAGTGAGGTTTATATATCTGTGGAATGTCCAGGGTGGGAGAAAGAACTCTTGTCTGTTTGAGATAAGTGTGAATGTTGCAGTTGATCAACTTGACTAGTATTGAAGAAACCATGAAATGAACAAAATCTGGCTACCAATATTTTTAAAAAACCCTCTAATATCAGGACAGTAAATAAAGAACAACAATCAAAAACAGGGAAATTCCAGACAAGAAACAATCAGGGCCAGCTAATCACTTACCAACAAAGGATTCCCCCAGGCAGGAAGTAGCCAAACCTTGAAGCTGCAAGGCTATTCAATGCTAATCATGGTGATCAACTGAAACATTCACACTTGCCCCAGACAAGAGTTCTTTCTCCCACCCTGGACTTTCCACAGACATATAAACCTCACTTGCCTTGTTTCCAACAGACCTCACAACCTCTCAGGATGCCTACCATAGATGTGGGTGAAACGTCAGGAGAGAATGCTTCTGGAACATGCCCATACAGTCTGGAAAACTCACAACAACCCAGTGATTCTGGCCATGGAAGCCTTCGACAACACAATGGACAAATGTCTTTAAGAGCCAAGGAGTTAGGCTGTAGCCTAACTTCTTTCCATCTCTTCAGCCTTGTCCCAAATTGTAGCATTTTGACTGACATTAACATCTCATGAGTGGTGTAAGAAGATATGCATTCTCTTCTAAAAGGAGTCACAACGCCAGCTAGGTCTTCATAACGCCTTGGTGTTTTAATCCAATCTTAGGAGGTGGGTGCTGCATTATTTTATTTATTCCTTACTAAAGCAGAATTGAATTAATCCTCCTTTACAGCCCAATCGATATGGCTGATTCAATACTGTAAGGATGATATGTACTGTTGTAGTTGAGATAATGTTTCCTCTGAAATTATGTGAAGTATATGTACACAGCAACTCCAACAAAGCAAATTGGTAGTGACACTGCATCATTACCCAAGTGATAATAACCATATGCATTTCATGCCAGTCAAAAGGATTTTACCTCATTGTTTCATAACAGCAGTTGGAGGACACTAGAAATGTTTCAAATTAATCTACTGCTCCCTGTATTACAAGATCCATATCATTTAACCAAAAAGAGAATGCAAGAGCTTCCAAATATACTTGTTGTTTACTAAATATTGGAGGGTATGTATTGACTTCCACCAAAATTCTTAAGACAGATTGGGAAAGATTGTCGGCAATTCTGAAGCCTCACTTAAATATTAGAAACTGGATTGGTATCTATTACAAGAAGGAATCTCTTACGAGAGCAAATCTCCAAACGATTTCCAAAAATCAGTCCACTAAATCTATGTCCTTCTACCTTGATAGTGTCCCAATATCACAGATCTAGGAATTTCTCTCAGTTCTGTTTAGCAAGTTCAAATTTTAATCTATATGGCATACCTCCTTCATATATTTAAGTTGGCATGATCTCATTGATTAAAAGGAGCCCCGGTGATGCAATGGGTAAAACCTTTGTGCAGGCAGGACTGAAGACTGACAGGCTGGAGGTTCGAATCCGGGGACAGTGCGGATGAGCTCCCTTCTGTTAGCTCCAGTTTCTCATGTGGGGACATGAGAGAAGCCTCCCACAAGGATGATAAAACATCAAAACATCCGGGCATCCCCTGGGCAACGTCTTTGCAGACGGCCAATTCTCTCACACCAGAAGTGACTTGCAGTTTCTCAAGTCGTTCCTTACACACAGAAAAATTGATTAAAAGCCATCAATTTGCCAAGGAAAAGTACCTACCATTGGGCGACCCAAGAATTTTCAATCCAAAGACCCTGTTTTAAAACCAAATGGCAATTATTTTACATTATGAAAGAAATGCAAAATGTCAAAGCCCAGAATTCATTGCTACCTTCTTGTAAATCTGTTCCCTTTTCATCCTACAACACGAAACAAAAATGGAGGGATTGGGGAGCATGGGTTCAATGCTTAATGCTAGAATGTATTATGACTCCCGTGCACATATGATGTTGAAGTGTGTTTGTTTCATTATTTTTTTTAAAAAAACAAAACCTGTTATTTCTAAGTGTATCAATGAATAAATAAAACCAGTTTCTAACATGCAGGCATTTTTTCTAGAGAGAAACAGTCATATAATCCTTGGCAAGATGAACAAATGTATTCATATATTTACAGACAAAACAATCAATTCCACAAATACAACCCTACTTCATCTACCTGCAGTTCCACAAAGCGGCAGAAGAAGCCCGCTAACTAGATGCAAACTAACCTAATTCAATTTTTTAAAAGTTTCCAAAGAGATTCCTCTACCCAGAACAATTTTCAGTCCATGGCTAAACTCTTGAAAAGGGACAGATAAACCGTTGACTTGAAAAGATTTTTCCCATCCGAAAATAAAAATGCACGTGGGCAGCACATTAAGACGTATGTACTGAATCAATGGAACAAGTTTCCAGCTTCAGCACAAAGTGGGCTTTAACTTTTGTAACAATCACTACACGCATCTTTTCACTATTTGAATGCATAGACAAGCAGGCTTTGCATACAGCTGAAACTATACATTTTTATAAACACGGAGAGTGAGATAGTTATTAATAGACTTTGTTATTAAAAGCGGTGGAATTTATAGTATGAACTCAGTTATATGTGAGGAGCAAAGCCAGTACAAGGCCACACTCACTTCTCCCCATGGCAGCCTCCTTAAAATGCTATACTGTTTGGGATGATTGAGGTGGCCTGGGGTGCGAGAACCTAAAGGTTGGGCACCCATGACATATGTGGAAGGTTCCTCCGTCTACACCTCCTTCTTTCTCCTTATCCCCTCCAACATAGCACAGTCCACCCAATTTAGCAAGTCCCCTGCTCCTTTGTGTAGCACAGTGGTTCCCAAACGTTGCCCTCAATGTGTTTTGGACCTCAGTTACCAGAATTCCTCACTGTTGGCTGAGCTGTCTTAGGACCCTTCCAGACAGGCACTATATCCCAGGAACCCAGGTTTTCTGCTTTAAACTGTGTTATATGAGTCCACAATGCCAGATATACTGAGATAAACAGAAAACCTGGGTTCAGATACTGGGATATAGGGCCTGTCTGGAAAGACCCCGAGGCTTTGGGAGTTGAAGTCCACAAAAACCTGGAGGACCAAGATCTGGGGACCAGTGGGGCAGCATTTTCAAGGCCATGAAGTCAACTTCCCCCTGCCCATTTTGGACTTGATAACTCTGGTGAAATCTAGAGTCATTTTTACTACCAGTGTAAGCCTTCTAAGATTTTATATCTCTATATGCCTTTAAGGATTTCCTCCTTGCCAGTGAAAACATTAATGAAAGCTAGAATTCACCTCAGAGAGAGCAAAAGCAAGGGAGTGATGATGGGCTCAACTCATAGAAGCTCAGGAGCATCCAAATCCCACTGAAAATAATGTGGACAGTGGTTCTCAACCTGTGGGTTCCCAGATGTTTTGGTCTTCAATGCTCAGAAATCGTAACAGCTAGTAAACTGGCTGGGATTTCTGGGAGTTGTAGGCCAAAACACATGAGAAACACTGCAATCTTAAGCACATTTACTCAGAAATAACTGTGCTTTGAAGTGCAGCCTTAAGCACATAAGCAGGAGCTTAAATCTCATCAATGGAGAAAAAAGATGCATGACTATCTATAGATTGTGCCTATTATCAGATCATATTGTAAGAACTAAACAATAATAATTACAAAACCTACACAAGATGGAAACTTTCATCTGGCAACTATGATGTAATACTTGTTCAAAAGATGCCACACTCTCTAAATTCTAGTATCCCAGAAGCGAAACCATCATAGTAAATTGACAGAATGAAAACAAGTCTATCTGGAATGTAATTGCAATAGAAGCTTCCAAAAATGAAATTGAAATGGTACTCCAAGTGTAATAGCAAGTGTCTATTTCACTGCAGCATCATTAGCCCTTTATACAGCCATGAAAATGACACCCATTAAAGGTGAACTACTTTACTGGGTTTTTTTCTCTCTCTACCGAATGATCAAGTTCTAAATACAAATGAAAAGGTGTCCTTTTTTAAACAGACCAATCTTTAATACTGAGATTGACAGAATGAGGTTAAGAGAATAAATCATGGTACTGAACTGATTACTTTGAAGCAAGTGTCCCAAGCTGAAGGGAAAAGTGCATTTAGTTCAGCAGCAAAACAGCACAGCATGGAGATATTGTGCTAGGACACAGACGGCCCGTAAGAATGGAAGGATGTACAAGGCAAGGCAAGATATAAAACCAGAATAACATTGTCAATGAACCGTAAATCTTACATATACTGCAGTGTTTCCAAAAAAGACACATTCATTATTTGTACAAAGACCAGGAAAAACTCATACAATTGCCTGTTGTATTTTACATCAATGCCACCTTATATATACATATAGATTCTCATCTCTTCGACCTTAACAGAACATACAGCTTTTCAACAAATCTGTCAATTTTAAAATCAGAATGCGTTGTGTATGCCAAATGCAGCCAAATGTAGAGCAAATGTTTCTAATATGATATGTTTATTATTGATACTGAAGACTTAAAATGAACTCGGACTTCGTCGGACTTCGTCATTTCCTGCTTTCCATTTTTTCTATTAAAATCAGTCAATTAAAAAGCCCTCGGCATATGCACAAAATTAGATATGATTGAAAAAGAGTAAATCAAAAAAGACAATAATTCAGTGATTTGCTCTTACTGTAAACAACATCCAAGACAATTCGCTCCAAGTTAAAAGATCTCAAGAACAAATTGCATCTCAAGGATTTTTGTCATTAAGAATACAAGCTGAGGGAAAAGTTCATGTCATCAATTTGTTGGGTTTCTTTTTTTTCCACAATGGGAAGAGGGCTCTATCTAAAACATTCTGTTCCTGACACTGGTCAGCAATGATGTGGCAATTGAATAAAGTAAACTGGTATCCCGAATTTCCCAGACATCCATTTAGTTCAGCAAAGAAAACTTAGACAAGCATGTTTACAATGAAAAAAAAAACAACAACCAATAAATGGCTATGTTTCCTCTATGAAACAGAAACACATAAACATGGTCTTAAATTTGCCTGTTTTATATTATTTATGTTTTATATATAATATAATATACACCCTATATATTATATTATATATACACACATACACAATACCAACAATGCTCTTTGCATATTGTACAGTGTATGGGACAAGCCAACTTCTTTCCAATCCTGGCACCTTGTGGCCTAGATAATACTATATACACAGTGACACCCCCAAGTGCCATTTATATTTTGTACATCAATAGGGCAGATATCCATCAGACCATGGCACGATATGGCCCTTGCATCTTGAGGAACTGGATGATAAAGGAAGGTCCACCGGCAACGATCTGAGCTGGAAGAGTATTGAGTGGGCAGTTCTCAATGCTCATTATAGATAGTTTACTGCAGAGCGCAAGTTCAAAAGGTAGACTGTTTAGATGGGGGTTGTCGTTAAGATACAATTCTTCCAGATTCTCCAGTGTACCTGCAAAAGCCAAACATTGCAATTAACATTTTTTAAAAACAGAAAGAGAAAAGATGAATGTGACTTTTTAATACAAAGGTAATTAGCTCTTCAGTCAATTGTCAAATGACAGCAAACCCCTTCTTGTCTATGCTATTCAAAGTTGTTGTTTTTTTCGTGTCAGGAGCGACTTGAGAGACTGCAGGTTGCTTCTGGTGTGAATGAATTGGCTGTCTGCAAGGACACTGCCCAGGGGATGCCTAGATGTTTTACCATCCTGTGGGAGGCTTCTCTCATGTCCCCGCACGGTAAGCTGGAGCTGACAGACAGGAGCTCACCCCACTCCCCGGATTCAAACCGCCAACCTTTTAATCAGCAGTCCTGCTGGTACAAGGGTTTAACCCATTGCATCACGGGGGGCTCCTTCAAAGATGAAGTGTGAATTCAAGATGCACTTGTGAAACTTGTTCCCAAAAGGTAACAAATCTATCTGAACAAATTTTACAGGAATCAGAAAAAACCATGGTGAGGATACGCATTCTTTTGCTACAAAATGCAATTCTTTTTCCAAGCCCTGTATTAAAGACATTTGATAAATTTTGACAGTTTTGATCAGCAGATAACATTCTGCTCCTAGTCAATAATGTGCTGCCACCACGTTATTGGTACTTTTTGGAAGCAAACTCCACATTTATCCTACAATTACAGCAGAGCTCTGTGACTGACATGCAAAGAAAATTCAACTCATACAGGAGCAAACCAATGTGACACTTTAACTTGAAAATTCTACCCTTAAAGTCCGCATTATGCCAAAGATGTTCTAAAAGGGAAATCTCTGGAAAAGATTAAACTAGCAGTAAACCTATCATGTGTTTTCCAAAAGTTAGAAATAACATACTGCCCACATTTGGCCCCCCGGTGGAGCAGTGGGTTAAATCGCTGAGTTGTTGAACTTGCTGAACGAAAGGTTATCGGTTCGAATCTGGGGAACAGGGAGAGCTCCCGCTGTTAGGCCAAGCTTCTGCCAACCAAGCAATTCGGAAACAAGCAAGTGTGAGCAGATCAATAAGTACCGTCAAAGGCTTTCATGGCCGGAATCACTGGGTTGTTGTATGTTTTTCCGGGCTATATGGCCATGTTCTGGAGGCATTTTCTCCTGACGTTTCGCCTGCATCTATGGCAAGCATCCTCAGACTTCACTATCTCTGAGGATGCTTGCCATAGATGCAGATGAAACATCAGGAGAAAATGCCTCCAGAACATGGCCATATAGCCCGGAAAAACCTACAACAACTCAATAAGTACCGCTTCGGCGGGAAGGTAACAGCGCTCCAGGCAGTCATGCTGGCCACATGATCTTGGAGGCATCTACGGACAACGCTGGCTCTTCAGCTTAGAAATGGAGATGAGTACCACACCCCAGAATCAGACACAACTAGACTTAATGTCAGGGGAAACTTTTACTGCCCACATTTAGAACTTTTGATAACATCAAGCAGTGCTGAATATTGAGTAGAGTTTGTAACTTCACAGTTCTTTCGTTAAGTATTCCCATGAATGTACACAATGTCTACCTCTCTGGGCTTTTCACTAGGACAAGCTTGTGGATTATAGCAAACAGACACAACATCGGCAACACCTCTAGAATGTCTCCTTATCTTGGTGGCAGCTGTAAGAATACTACATTCACGCATAAGCAAAAGTCAATCAATCACATCTTACCAATTTCCTCAGGAATCTGCATAAGGAAATTCTCCCCCAGTCCAAGATGCGTCAGATTGATAAGGTGGCCAATTCCTCTAGGAAGGGTGCTCAACTGATTATTTGTTAGGATCAGTCTCTGAGGGAGAAATATATAGATGCAAACATCAAATGAATACATTTTTTGGTAACAAAAACCTTCCAGAACTAAAGTGGCTAATTTTATTCAGTCACTGGAAATTCAGTGTTCCTTTATTCCCAAATCATAATCCCTGATGACTTTCTAAGAACATATCTAGACAGATGTAGATGTTTGATCCAATTGTAAATGTCTGGGATGTACCATCCAGGAAACTGGGAACTAAAGTTTATTGTGGTGCTCAGGTTTCAGGTAAACTGTAAAGCAAAGAATTCTGACTAGGGCAGCTAAAGTGGTAACAAACTGCTATAAAACACAAACAATCTGACATTCCCTGCTTCATATGGGAGTGATTACCAGTACATCATCAACCTAACCAAACAAAAGGACTTTTTTCCATATGGCAACTTATACACTATTTAAGACAAATGTTTTCAACTGGCAAAAGTGATCATTTTCACCTGTAGATCCCTAAGGTAAGCTATTTCGTTTGGCAAGGATTCCAGCTTGTTTTCCTCCAGATCCAATTCTCTCAGTTTCCTCAGATTTCCAATGCCATGAGGGAGGCATCTTAGAAGGTTGTTTGACAAGATAAGAACCTGAGGGGGAAAACACATGTAGATTTTTTAGCCAAACTAGCAATTACCCGATAACATACAATTACCTGTGTATGCTTCAGTGAACAAAGGCAGATTCTCACTGCTGGTAAACATACTTTATGTCATATTGACGTTTGCAAACTGGAATCATGAAAGATGATTCTTTCCTTACTGATATAAGTCATCTCCTTACTGATAAAAAGTAAGGAGAAAACACACAACTGTACATAATTTTAGTTATAGGAAGTGTTATACTTTCACTTTACTATCAGTAAGTTTGTATTGAAGTTGTCCAGGCCTTGCAAAAAAAAAAAAAAGAAACAAGCTTAATGTTCAGTTTTTTCATCAATTCTGACTTTTTTCAATGTCTGAAAAGGATAATGGTGGAAGCCAGAGGTTGCTGACCCCCTGAGGCAGCATTGGTGCTTTCCCCTGTCCATCTGGATATATCCATGGGTCATTACAAAAATCTGTAATTTTGGCTGTCCTCAACTTACACATGAGGTTGATGTGTACATGGGTATATATGGTTATCAAACATATTAGGGAAAATCCACACATGATGGAAGAAGAAAACACAGGTGCTAGGTACCACAGTATGGGATCAACAACTGTGAAATCTGTGTTTAAGATGCCATACATAAAACAGTGAGGAAGGTTGAGTACACAGAAGTCTGTCTTGCTCCAAGGTTACTCGTTGTTCCAACATGCATTTGACAGTTCTATTAATCCTCTGAAAGATTATGTTAGAAATCGGCAAACATCCTTGACAGAATTTGCTTAGTTGGCCTTTTACTGTTTTTCACTCACCTCGAGGGAAACAAGCCCAGACACATCTTCTGGAATCTTGTTGAGTTGGTTTGTAGCTAGGTTGAGTTCAACCATGCTGGTCCATGTCCCGAAGTCCAAGGGAAGGGATGTCAGCTGATTGTCCTGTAGGTGAACATAAAGGCATATGAAGTTTTCTGAAGAAGCACAGACAACTTGGAGAGGACATTCAATTACACATATAAAAAGGAAAACCATTCCGGTTCTCACAAATTATTGTTCTGTGTAACCATTTTGTTGACTGCTAAATAATTTTTTAATTTTGCATCCCTTTTGATCAGCACTGATGTTTTTCTCCTTATTTTATTTTTGTTCTAATGTTATTTTAGTTTCTGTTATTATTATTTTTCATTGAAAATTTACTTGATTAGTACTTGATTATTTATTACACTGGGCAACACACATTTCTGGTGCCTCAAATGTTAGACCTGTATCTGGGTATATCTGACCTGCTAATTCAAAAAGTGTCACCATCAGCTCAAGCTTTTAAAAAACAGAAGATATGCCATCTGCTCAGCCACAGAAAATCATGATATTTAAGTCACTAGAGCTGATGCTGTCTATCCAATACAATTTTCTGAATCAGTGTCCCAAATAATCCCAGAAACAGGACTAAAAATCAAGACACCAAGAAAAAATGTTGGTATGTGTTGTCGTTGTTATAGTTTGTCCCTGTTATTTTCATCTTATTTTGCCTATCACTTGTAAAAAAGATTCCAATTCAGTCTATGATAGCAGTAGGCTGTACAATCAATCTAATGGTATGATCTAATAAGTATAATTATGAGTGTGGAAAAGAATAAGCAGAACTAAACAAAATGAATCTGAGCTATGGTTTATAATGATCAGAAAGCAGTTGTTCCAAGAGATCTAATGCTTAGCCTATGGTTATTACATATCTAGAGTATTAATGTGGTATGAAATCATCATGCAACATCCATCTGGGATATATTGAGTTATGATTACACTGGGTGTAAATAATGAGCCTTTTGCAGGAAAGGTCAGGGCCCACAGACTGCAGGGAATGCATACTTCCTTCCAAATGCACTTCCACCACTGGATAAATAGATTTTGCAAGCACTTAAACTGTAAATAGTGGTTGCTGGCTAAACGCAATTTCCCACCACCAATACCTCATCTCCCACTTGTAAAAGATAAGCATTATTTCAGTTTAGTGATCATTGTGGATTTCTTCAAAATAGCTCCCTTGATACCACTGCTGACATCAGACACAATTCCCCTTCAAATAGACCAGCTGGTGGAAGGCGACAGGAAAAGGAAAATCCTTCTATACTGTCACAGGCAAATGGCCACTCAGGCATCAAGTAAAGTACAATACAAGGCTACTTCTTCTTTTATAGAGCGATATGTACATTTTAAATATATATTTTGAAAAACATATAAACATATAAATATATTCATGTTGACAATGAGCAAGTGACTTACTGTTAATGTCCATAAATACAAAACAAATGTGCTGGGTTTAAAATATATATTACTGCTTATTTAACTAACAATAAATTTTAAAAATACTAAACATATTTTACATTGTTTAATTGGTGTTGTAATAGTACAACCAGTTTAATAGGTATCTTAAAATGTATAATTTAATGTGAAAATAAAAGAGTAGGATATACATCTATTTGTATTAATTACATTAATAGTCAGAAGATATGTAGAAAATTAGTGGAATGGGGCACAGAATCAGAGGGGGGGAAATATATGAAAAGGTGGAATGAAAATATAGGAAAAAACAATAAAAATGAAGAATGGGAAAAAAAATATGGAGAACAAAGATGAAATACACGTATGCAACAGACTTAAAAGAAAATTGGATTAAAGTGGAACACAGGTGGTACATGACCCCTCAAAAACTTTGAAAATGCTACAAGAATGTAAATACAAAATGTTGGAAACGTGGAAAGATTGAGGGATCATATTTCCACATGTGGTAGTCATGCACAAAATCTAAAATATATTGGAGAAAAATCCACGAAACACTACAGGAAATAATACATATAAGAATACCATTCAAACCAGAGATATTCCTATTAGGGATAACAGACCAAAAGTTAGATAAAAATATGGATAAGTTCCTTTTTCTATTGAATACTGCTGCAAGAATTTGCTACACAAAATTATGGGAGAAGGAAAAGATTCCAGAAGTCAGGGATTGGATAGAAAAAATCGTAGATATTAGAAACATGGATAGATTAACATATTTGATATCAAAAAGTAAGGGGACCCCAATAAGAGAAAATGATTGGACAAAAGTGACAAACTACTCAAAACAGAAGAATGGAATACAATAATATTAAAAAGAAGAGAAAACAAGAGGGAAGAAAAATAAAGACGGAAGAAAGAAGAGGAAAATCCACTCGGAAGATACACAGGAAGTCAATGAAGGAGATATATATCATCTTTCTCCTGGTTTTTAACTACTCATCTATCTATTCTATTTTTTTCTTCTCTTTTTCTCGTTCTTTTCCCTTCTCTTTCCCTCGCTCCTTTTTTTTTCTTTTTTCCCCCTTCTCTTATGTCATTTCTATTTTATTCCACTGTATTTTAAAAGAAAAACTTCTCAATAAAGATTATATTTTTTAAAAATAGTCAGAAATTTCCTGAAACAACACAGTGCGCTTCATTAAGTCCCATTGCTTATAAAAATTACAGTTATGTAGGAAAATCCTACAAATAAAATTCCAATAACATCCTTTTTAATTAAGGAATGTAAATAGTAAGGGGTCCAAAAGAGCAGCAAAGTGATCTGGGATCGTCTACATTTGGACTACACGTTCCATCATTCTTTGCCATTGACCATGTAGTCCTGCACAGATAAAAACTGAAGGTAATTGGCGGGCAAAAGACTTCCTCTTTCTGCTTTGTAGCAAAAATCAAGATTTTCATCAATGTTGTGATACTCTGCCTATCACAAAGTATTTGCAATCAAATCTAAACCATGTACAGGGTTAGTCAAAATGAATAGGCCAATAAGAAAATTAATTTTAGACGAATGTATGTTTATTGTAACCAAACTACAGCTACGTAGCGACAGATAAACTATCAAAGTTTTGTCTCACCTTCAGAGATGTTCGATATGGGCGCCCCGTGTGACACGGCAGATGTCCAAGCGATAGTCCAGTTCATTCCACATCCGTTGCAGCACATCCGACGTAATGGCATCGAATGCAGCAACGTCTGGGAAGGTGTTCGTTGAGGTCTTAACCCTAACCCTAACCCTAACCCTAACCCTATCCCTAACCCTAACCCTAACCCTACCCCTAACCCTAACCCTAACCCTAACCCTATCCCTAACCCTAACCCTAACCCTAACCCTATCCCTAACCCTAACCCTAACCCTTGAAATTCTCGCTGGACCGTAATTACTGACATTGTTTTAGCAAATGTCATCACACAAAACGCCTTCTCTTTGCTTGATTCCGCCATTTTGAAAACAGCGACCCCTAGCGACGCCTAGCGGCATTAACGTACATGTGTGTTGCTCAAAAAAAACTTTGATAGTTTATCTGTCGCTACGTAGCTGTAGTTTGGTTACAATAAACATACATTCGTCTAAAATTAATTTTCTTATTGGCCTATTCATTTTGACTAACCCTGTATTATTTGAAGTATTTGTCACAACATCTACCCAAGGATATCAGGTAGTTCCTCTAAAAATCTGGGTGGTGATTAATATTCAAACAAATTTAAAGTGTAATTTTACATTCAGAAGAATCAGTTCTCAGCAAAGGAAGACTCCTCACTCGTGTAATAAAATTGGCAAAGAGCTCCTTGGATTTAGATCTTCACCAAATGAAAGGAATAATGTGCTGCAACAGAGTTCACTGAGGCGCCAAATAAAACAACAATAAAAACTTGCTTTCAGCAATTTAATACTTAATCCCAAGCATGAGCTTGCTTTTTGACCAAAAGGCATTTCTCGGAGAGAGCACAACCTGAATATTATACTTTTATGGACAAGCCAAACAGTCTGTGCCTCTGACACTGCCATTTACAATCCAAAGGCACACATAGTATTTTCTAGTATGCCAAGATATCATTTTAGCATTTGAACTAGAGCAGAAGCAAGACCTTCTATTTTTCACACTACCGATAACAACTGAAACAACTTAATATACTCAAAAGAATTTCAGGATATTATATGATATATCTCCTTATAGGAGAAAACAGAGTTCTTTGGTTCACAAGGGAGAGGATGAACATATTAGCATTTAGAATCTGAGATCGTTAAATGCTAATTGCTAAACTGGATATCTATTCTTTGCAGGAGCTTGTAGCAGCTATGTAGATGGGAAAGGTGTCAGCTACCAATTCCTGTTAGATGCCAGTGCATGTTCTGGGTCATGTTAGATATTTATATCAAACCTCAAATCAAGGATAAAATAAAAACATCACATGAATTGTTAAAAGTAGTAGCTTGTATTTTATACTGTATTTACAAATTCCATAATTTAGAGGTAGAGAACCAGTATTCACTAATACAATTGTGTAGTGACAATTGTGGCACTATTCCCATAATTGTAAATGCCCTCCCAAACTTATTTTACCAGACAGAAGCCACACTGAAGGATGGAAGTGTTTTCTGTTGGCGACTGGGGTGCAGGAGTTTTCTACCCCTTCCTCCTGCCAGCAAGTGAGACCACGAAAAAGGAATTATGACAGCAGTTCTGTTTTTAATTTTTCAACCTTGCTTTTTGGAGGAAAGGAAACTGAAATATTCTTCTTCTGCACACTTGTAACAAGCTGAGTAAACCTCCATGTCTTAGTACAGTTGCTACCTGGTAAAGTTTTCTTTTGGGGGTGGGGGAGGTCGGTTAGATGACTATACTTACAAAATACATTTGTGACAGAAAACATAGTGCTAAGTTTTCAACTTTTAAACCTCAAAATTACCAACCGAAGAAACGTTATAGTGGTGTATTTTGGCTGTACTTTCAAAGAACATGTGAGGTTTTTTAACCATAGCAACCCAGATATAAATCAGATCCTGGTAAATAACTCACCTTCATGTTCAGTTTGCTCAACACTTTCGCTCTGGAAAATATTCCAAAAGGGATTTTATTGATGCGGTTATGCTCCATATTAAGTGCGTAGATCGTGGAGAATTGTGAGGGACCACCCACTGGATATGATTGGAAACAATTCCTTGCCAGAGTTAGACTAGTCAGATTCACAAGGCTGGATAAGAGACCCTGAGAAAAAGAAAATCATACATTCAGAGAACACTCAAACACCACTCAACACTCAAACACCACATTTAAATTGTTATTTTTTTCTGTTGCATAGAACCTGACTTTAATATATTATCTGAAACTTTAGTAGCTTTCCTTACATATTTTAGTTGTTTTTACTACAAAGAGGGCCCTCAAAGCCCTCTTTGTAGTAAAATGTAAATAAAGCATTTATGTAATGTAAATAAAGCATTTAAAACAGTTATACAACTTCTATAGAATATGTATTTTGCTTATTGTTTTTACAAACACCACAATGACTTCTCAATTTTCCTTTCTAACACACCACTACACTGTCTCATGAGGAGATGCTTGGAGACTGACATCATTCTTGGGTGAACCTATCTCTATTCATTTTCCTTGACAAGAACAGATGACTACCATGGTCCAAGAACTGTAAACCAAATCCTATATTAAAAGAAGGGCATTCCCTGAAAACGATAGAGATGTTTTAGATTGTACAGGGTTTTGCCTCTATAATGCTGGTAGAACTATTCTTCATCAGTCTGAAAGAGTTATCTTTGTTCCCTTATTTATCATCGAACCCCCACAAGTAACTAGTGCTCATGTTCTGAGAGCTAAATAGCATGCAAGCAAAATATTTTTCTGTTTCCCGCTATATGTATCTATTTCCTTTTATCACTGAAGAGAGCCTTCTCTATATTCTGGCTATGAAAGAAGTGCATGTATCTCAAAGAAGTCCTTCTCTTTGGAGGCTCCCTATTTTTTAATATTCTGCCATATGAAGTATATACAACACCAGTTCTGTACTCTTTTCAGTACCAGGTGAAATATTTCTATTTTCTCAGGCATTTAAAATTCAGTTTTGAAATTAAATTGGCATTTTCCCTACCAAAGCTGATATGAAGCATTGTCTGCTTGCACATGCACTTCTTTAACTGCTGATTCACGTGTACTTAAAAAATAAATGCCTGACATTAACAAAATAAATCAGTGCTCATTGTCATGGTAATATATTTCCCCAAAGTAATAGCTGAAAGTAAACTGTGAGCAACGTGAAAACGTAGTCGTAGCCTATGTAGTGAGGTAATGTCTAGATAGCTTAGCCAATTATCGTACAGTAACAAACTCAGCATGCTATCAATGGCACTAGGATGTACTTTTAAAGACATAACATATACTATCCTCACCATTTATCACCATATCTTCATATTATAGGAATTCATTCATTTCATAGTGTATCTAATTTCCAGTGAAAGTCACTACTACCTCAGCTAAGCTATGGTATCATTTAAGCAACACAGTAAGTTCTACATTCTAAGATCCATAAGGTGCAGTCACCAAAGTTTAAAACTGAATCACCTGGAAGGGTTGGTCAAGTCATGGGAAGACTGGGTTCAACTTGGAAAGTGTGCCAGGGAGGGAGCAGGGTATCTTCAAAAGAAATTCCAGGAGGCAACGGGACATAGTAGCAGCCCGCTGCCACCACCACTGATAGGGTTCCTTTCCAGACATCTGCACTCACACATGGATGCACCCTGTTCTGTGTGCACCTCGAGCCAGCTTGGCCAACAAGCAATGCCATACCATGAGAAAACCATGATAGCCCAAGAAATTTGCATCCAACTCCAACTCAGAGAAGAAGATGGAGGAAGGGGCAGCTTACAAGTGAAAGCACTGGGAGAGTGGAAAGAAGGAAGCAAAGGTGACGAGAGGGGGAGAGTGAAGAGAAGGATGCTGACATACAGAGTTTTGTAGCAGTATCACTACCCTCAAAGGCAAAAACAATGGAGGTGCAGCAGAGGCCACCTCAATGTGAGATAGAGATTTTTGTAGCAGCAACATGAATGTGTGTTGGGGCGGGGGGGGGGGGCTTTTAAACATTTATGGTTTGTCCACTTTCATAGTGATGCTGTACACCTGTGGATCCCCAGGTGTTTTGGCCCACAACTCCAAGAAATCCCAGCCAGTTTACCAGCTGTTAGTATTCCTGGGAGTTGGAGGCCTAAACATCTGACGACTCACAGGTTGAGAACCACTGCTGTACACCTAACCCATGCAAAAGTTTAAAGCCAACTGCACTTTTCTTCTGCTGCCACAGAGACTTGATCTAATGGACTACGACATTATACTAACATGTAAGTGGTTTCTTCTCAGCAATAATTATGACATATGCATCACTTGTGACTAAAGCAATTTTATTTTTTCAAAGAGTTTTGCACTTCGAGCCAATGTATCTTACAACAGAGCAATCTGTTTTCCAGTCAGTCTCCTTTGTATGTGTAATTATACTTCAGTGACTTTCATAATGTACTTAGGAGTGGCTTGGCTTTGTTCTTAAAAGCTTTGTTGTTTCTTCCATTAGCAATTTCTTCAAGCAATATTAATTCATTCCCAATCTGTGGTAACACTAATCATTTACATCAAGTTTTGCAGATTTCAGCATTCTCTCAATTCTAGATCACTTTTCCTCATTAAAAGCCAGGCCAATTTCATTGCAAAAGATCAATATATTACATTAAGCTGAAATCATTATCACGTGTAACTGCACAAGCAATTATGCATTGAAAGCAGTCTCCAAAACAAAACAAAATATTATTTTCTTTAGGGAAGAAGGAAATACCTAGCTAGCTGTTTTGAAAATTTACCATTTTTGTATCATGCCACAATTTGCAGGCAGATGAATACTGAAAAATACCAGCCAAAGCATTTTGAATATATATTTTCACATACTGTAGGCTTACCAAAGTACGTCTTTAGATTTAAGTATCCAAATTCACTCTATTGGTTAATCCCTGGACTTACCTGACAACTGGCTAATTTTTCAACAAAGGCTTTCATTAAATAAATCATCACTCAAACAAAATATAGAAAGAATTATTCATAAGAACTAGTCACACATTTCCAAATCCTGAAGCATGTCAGTTAGCATTCATTATATATATGGACATCAAAAGTCTGTCTCTGTGCCGTACACACAAAATCTGACCCAAGACAACATGACACTCAGTCCTTAAGGAATGGGTTTACAACTATAATATGCACACACACACACACCTTTCTTCATAGGCAGCAAAGATTTACTTTTCAATGTCTTTTTTACACTGATTTTGTAAGACCTCTGTTCAATCAGCATGGTTTCTTACCTCTGGCAAAGCAGAAATAATGTTGTTCTCCAAATTCAGTTCATCGAGTTTACTGCACTGTGCTAGCGACCTGGGTATTGCTGACAGCCGGTTATATCTCAAACCAAGACTTTTCAGACTGGATAGATTTCCTTTAAAAAGTTATTAAGAGTTAGTTGAGCAATTGGAATAAGTGAACCAGATCATATCTACAAATTCCCAACACCTATGTTCATATTGGAAACAGAGAAAAAACACCTTTTCTACAAGACTATCTCATGAAAGCAGCAGTATGTTTTCAAAGTATTTCACAGAGAGGAAAAAACACATGAATAAATTAAGCACTATCCCATTTTGGTATGATTATTTTCTGTCATAAATTTTTAATTTCTTAACTGTTCTCTAAAGGCATACATCTATGATTCTTTATTTAAAAAACAGTTCACATTCACTACATTAGACCACTTTACACATTTTAGACTATATGAAAAAGGATATATACCAGAGCAAAGGGGTGAATATTAATAACTTTCAAAAGCCATGCAATAAAAGAGAGCATAATATCCTCTAAAATGAGCTACATGCCAGGACTTACTTAACCAGGAAAAGCTAATTTCTTAATGCAGGTTCAGCAACGTCCACTTGAAATTCCAAAATGAAAATGCCAGTACAGGCAGTCCCCAAGTTACAAACATCCAGCTTGCAACTGACTCATAGTTAAGAATGGGGGTGAAACAACAGGAAGTGAGAGAAATCCAGCTCTCGGAAGGGAAATTAAATCCTGGAAGAGGTGTCTCCACTGAAGCTTTATCTCTAGTCCTTGTTCCCAAAACAAACTAAATTTTTCAACAGCAAAGTGTCACAGGGACAGAAAGTGAGACGAAAGCTGAACAGGAACAAGGACAGCAAATCAAACACCACACAAACACCCATCACAATCCAAATCTATGCAATATATAGTGTTGGCTGCTGTTACACTTAAAAATGTACCTGTTCAAGTTACATACAAATTCAATTTAAGAACTAACATATAGAACCTATCTTGTTCATAACTTGGGGACTGACTGTACTCTAAAATCCAAAACTGACCACATCAGTGGTTGAGATTGTGACAATTTTATATTTGAATGATTCAATGTACACAAACGTAGCTTCATGCATAGCATTATTTAAAATATTGTATGTAAAATTACCTTCAGGCTATGTGCATAAAGTACACATGAAACAAAAAACGAATATCTTATTCCTAACTGTATCCCAAGATACCTCATTTTGTGTGTGTGTGTATATATACATACATACATACATACATACATATACACACACACACATCACAAGTCTTGAATTCCTTGGCAGTTTATTTATTTCCAAATTAATAGACAACAAATCAATGTGTTCATTTAACTGCTACATCACTAAATATTATTTTGCTATCCTGTTAATAAAATAACAAAGAGAATTATCTATGTTGAAATAATCACATCTGTTTACACTACTGCTATGTCTCAGCTCACCATCCTGAAGGAATATATTTCCTGTCATCATAACTTGGTTCAACATGCATGTTCTTCTAGCTCTATACTCACTTTATTACCAAGCTCAGCAATTTCTAATCCATAAAAATACAGGTCTGCACAAGCCATACATGGAAATCTTCATGTCAGTGTCTGTCTCTGAACCATCTTTGTGCACAATAGCAGTCTTTCCAGTCTTGGGAACAAAAGGTTTTCACTCATAACCTAATAATATTCTCTGAATGTTTATGACATAACTACACAAACAAAAAAGGCTATATGTGCCGTTTTTTGAAGAACAGATTACAAAACGCCTGAAACATCTAAAACACAACAGTTCTGTATCTGCATAAACATTTATATACAGTACTACATTATATACAAAAAAATGACTGGAATTTTGTTCAATCCACACAATCAATCACTAATAAGCAAATATCAGCATTCAATAGATATATACACAGATGTATGTGCATGATGTAAAAAAAAACCCTATATATGCAAGAAGTGGAACAGTAGTAAGCACTGAAGATTTCCTGGACATTATTCATGAACTGCTTGATTAAAGAAAGTAATCTTTAAAGGGGAATTTGGGGGTGTAGGACCAAGACTAGGCAAAAAACAACCAGCAAATCTTGAAGCAGGCATCATAGGCCAGAACAAGCAAAACAGGCTAAGCTGCTCCTGGAGCCAGAGAACTATTTCATACAGACTGCTGAATTGTGCCTAGGCATCTAGCACAGCATGAGTAATCCAGAAATAGACCAGGTACCAAGGTTACAGTGATGCTTGTAACCTTTGTCCAAGACAAGGCTTTGCTCAGAGCGGTTTATTAGATGCATGTATTGTACTTGTGTGGGTTTGTTTTAGAATTACAAGGCTTTACTGGCACAGCTTCTTTTTTATTTTAAGCTTCTCAGAGAAAGAGAAGATCGTAAACCTCCTCTCCATTTTGCAGCAAGCAAGTAAACGAATAACGAAGACTGCAATCCTTGTGCTCAGTGAATTACTGTGCACAAACACCCACAGATATTAATAGGATTTAAACTATGCAAGTATAGACAAGTTGAAAGTTCAGTATTTACTTCTTTCAGCTCACGACTATGATCTTCAAAAATGAAATAAAAATAGAAAGTTTTGGGGTGCTACCTGACCTTTTAAAAATAACACTGATACTAAAAGCATCTTATGAATACCTATGAGAATACAAAAAACAGCCTAGTAACCAAGGAGTAACGCCTAGTAACACATCTACTTTGTTAACTAAGGTTCGACATTATGCAATAATGAGGAGTACTAATGAACACTGGGTTTGATAGCTTGGGAGGGGGAAGGACTTAGAACCAAGAATTGTTGCCAGCCACAACAGCTCCTTCATGTGCAGAGCAGTGACTCTAGTTACTAGGCAAACGGTCCCTTGTAGAGAATGGGCATCATATGTGCGCTTCAAGGGTTATCTGTGTAGTTAAAAGTAAAGGTAAAGCTTTCCCCTTGACATTAAGTCCCGTCATGTCCAACTGAGGGGGAGGGTTTCATCTCAATTTTTAAGCTAAAGAGCCGGCGTTGTCCGTAGACACCTCCAAGGTCATGTGGCCGGCATGACTGCATGGAGCGCCATTACCTTCCCGTCAAGGTGGTATCTATTGATCTACTCACATTTGCATGTTTTCGAAATGCTAGGTTGGCAGAAGTTGGACTAACCATGGGAGCTCACCCCTCCCCGAATTTGAACCACCAACCTTTGGTTAGCAAGTTCAGCAGCTTAGCGGTTTAACCCACTGTGCCACCAGCAGCTACTATCTGTGTAGCTAGCCACTGTTTATTCAAACAGAGTATTCTGGATACAATGGACGTTACTCTGAACAAACAAAGCAACTGGGCTGTTGTAGGTTTTTTCGGGCTATATGGCCATGTTCATAGATGCAGACGTTTCGCCTGCATCTATGGCAAGCATCCTCAGAGGTAGTGAGGTCTGTTGGAACTAGGAAAAAAGGGTTTATGTATCTGTGGAATGACCAGGGTGGGACAAAGGACTCTTGTCTGCTGGAGCTAGATGTGAATATTTCAACTGACCACCTTGATTAGCATTTGATGGCCTGACAATCTTATGTCCTTAAAACTATCATCACTATCTCCATGTATTCTACAAATTGGTGTGATATAACATATTCTACTCTGAATCTCATTTTCCTCTTGGGAATTTGTATATAATTCTTATATCACTAGACAGCAGAATGAAGCTGTAAACCTATAACTCAGTACTGATGCTTTTAAAAACAGTGACTGACTTCCTGATTTAGAAACATGCAAAGTGAATCCTATAAGATATCTGAAATATAAAAGAGACTGACAGCTGATCGTAATTTATCACACTACAGAGATTCGATATTCTCTGCTGATCCTACATTAGGATTAAATAACTGATTCAGTCACGTAAATTATTCTCAGCAGTACTTCAATAAGAAGATTGGAGTCTCTTTCTCCCCCAAAATGCAAACTAAAATGCGAAGAGCCTTGAAGGATAGCATAAATAACACAATAACACACTTGAAACTATTTCTAAAATAAATTAAGAAACAATAGCTCATTAAAACATCGCAACATTGTTGTTCACAATTTAATAAGCAAACACATACGTTTTTCATCATTTTTGTTCTTCATTTCATCATGTCTTTTTTGTCATTACGAATGCAATTGTTTCTCCAAACACTAACAAATCTTCTACAGATCTTATTATGGTTAGACATGTTACTTATAATTGGACATATGTCTCAATGGCCCGCTGTGAACATGTGTCCCAAAACTAGCAAAACCTTTCTATATGTTCCCCGACTTCTGGAGTTGCTGTTTCCCTAGTCATATTAGCATCAGGGAAGCATCCCTCTTAATGGAAATCATCAGGGATGGGGGAGATGCCTTCATCTCCGTCTCATTACAGCAATTTATGTGCTCTCAGATCCTGGCAGGGAGAGAGAAAGAGTACAGGAAAGGGTGTGGGTACTGGAAGCCCATGAGGCCTCTGCTACAAAGTTGTGCACTCCTACTTTCCACAAAAACATAAGAAACATAACTGATGACTTTGTCATTTTGAATTCCACTGGTCCAAAATATTTTAGTTAGATTAATAAGGAGGATCTGTTCATTTAGTCAGCAAAAATTATTCTCCATTTCCTCTTTTAAACAGAATTGAAGGTAAATCACAAAAATTAAAAATGTAAAAACTGAGTCACAAAACAGGGAAGGGGTATATAAACCTCCCTGAACTCCAGAGAGGAAGGTGGCATAAAGATGTAATAAACCATTCTAAACAATAGGGTGTTGTGTGGTTTCTGGGCTATATGTAAACATTTACTGGTTTTTTTTTATTATTTTAGGTGAAAAGGGGAAGAGAAAGTTAGAACTGTGACTAAGCAATGATAGGCCAACCAAAATGAAAAAGTGTGATGCTATAATTATGTAGGACAGATTGCCAAAATACCATTCATTGAAATGTATAGATTAAACACCACTGTTATATGGGAAATAATGCCATCAGTGTCTTAATACTAAAGGAAAAGCAGCAGCAAATAGGGAGCGAAAAGCTGTTCACATGGTAACAGAAGCCTAACCTGCAGTTACAGAGCTCAAACAGAAAGGACACGTATAGAAGCGTGAAGCCTAAAAAAGCACACCGTAAAACACTAAAAAATATATACTGTTCGCAAATGTTAAGACAGATGATTTGAAATACCACTGCATACAGAATTATCATGAAAATAATTGCTGTTGTTTTTTCAAACCCAGAAAATATTTTTTTAATTAATTACACCTGTACCTACCTATAGAGTCTGGAAGGTCCAAAAGTTCATTGTGCTGTAAATCAAGTTTGGTGATCTGTGTGCAATTTCCAATCTCCTTTGGAAGATGTTCAAGCTGATTGTGTGCTACATCCAACGTTATGAGGTTACACAACTCACCTGAAAGTACAAGTGGTAACAAGATATTATCATTCAGACTATCAGTACAGATGTAAAGGTTCACCATGTTTGACCTTCAATGGTGGGCTAATATTACAGGTCTAACATTCCAATGTTTGTCTGAATTTATTCTGATCAATGATACTGCGAGTGAATACCAAAGCAAGATTTTTACACAATATAATATTTGTGCCATGTTCAGTTTCTCTCTGTCTCCCTGTCACTGTCTATCTCAAGTTTTCTTACCCTATTCAGACAACAAACATGAAGTGAAAAATTGCAAACACTATTGTGGTAACAGAAAAAAGAGTGATAGTTCTACTGTGTCTGAATTCTCCCAGAACAATTTGCATTTTTCATTTCCGACTTTTGCTTTCATCAGCTAAACTAGCTTCTGCTGTACCTCCAGCTTTGTAAACCACAAAATGTTAAATCTGATCCAACATGGTATTTTCACGGGTAGTTTTTAGAAGATTTTCTTATTTCTTAAAACTGTTTCATCAATATATGTCACATGCCTGGACTTTTACTATTGGCTAACTATTAATAATAACAGGTTTAAAGATTGAACTTTAAGACTATGCAAATAAGAAAGATCTCAAACAAATATGGCAACTCTTCTATCTTCGGTCAAGTTTCACTTATGTATTTTTCTTAATAAAAATCAGTTAGCTAAGAGACAGTTCTTTGTCACTTTAGTACTAAGAGAAAGAGATTAATATTAATTTTCTTCTGCAACAATTTACTTGAGGGAAATCATGCTAGCAAACATTATATACAGGACAACCTGTTTCCCCACTGTATTAATTCTCCTGGTCGGCTCTGCTCACAATGTTTAAGCAGATTGAAAATTCTAAAATCCTTTACATCGTGATAAATCCTCTACCAGATGACAGAGGGAAAGGACAGAGTACTTTCATTAGGCTGTATAAGAAAAAGGAATTATGAATATTAGCAATGTAAAAAATGTGTTGATTAGCACTGAAAAGAGTTGGTCCCGATTCTATTGCAAATTATGCTTGTTAGCACACTAAGACATAGATCTCCTACTTTTGTCAAAGCTGAAAAAGTCTTTCCTCTCTACCAATAGAAAGAAGGGAAACGATGTTCCGCATAACATAATAGAAAATAGCAAAGCACCACTACAGGTACCAGTGGTTAGTAAAACACCAGAATACAATTTTCCTCACTTCCCTCAGTTACAGCATTTCTTGTGCTACCTTGTGCTATCTACTTTATGTGGAGCACTGACTAGCAATACTATGTGATGTCTGCAATCCTTCTGCCATTGGGTAGAAACTCAAAATGTGGTCCATATATCCCTAGGAATACTTAAAAATATATTTTTATTGAATATTTCAGATTTTTTTCACATAAAAAGGGAAACTGGAACAGTCGGGTAAAAAGAACAAAAAGGAAGGGTAGGAGTAATGGAGTTATTGTTAGTAGGTTAACTACTAACTAATATGTCACCAGGGAAGTAGGGGAGGAATGAGGTTGAGGAATGGAGGGTAAGACATTCTAAAATATTATAGTTAAGAAATGGCAATCTAGAACTCCAAGATCACCTGCTACTTATATCTTAAAATACAAGAATATTATCTATATCACCAAAGAAAATTATATAATAGGGGAAAGTAATATATTAGGAAGTCTTAAAATGATTTCAGATTACAAAAATGAGCTGAATTTCTTCAGACACTCGAAATTGTTGTTTCATATGCTTCATAGTTGGTCTGTGACTAATATCTCACATTCTTCTATCCCACTCTTCATCTTTGCTGCATCAATGAAACGGGTATTTCTTAGAGTACTATGGAAAACAAACTGCATCTACCTTAATAGCATGGTCTTCAGGGCTTTTGTTTTGTTTTGTTAGGGAACACACATCTCAGCAGCAATAGCTGCTGCCGGAACATCACATCACAATTAAACTGAAGAATAAAACAAGGAAAAAAAGCTAGAATGGGGGGGGGGGGGATAAGTGTCTTTCTGTGGCATCCTCTTGCTCTACAGTAGATGTAGGTAGGGACCACTCATACACATGGAACAGATAGGAGGTCTGGTTACCACCAAAACAGCTTATGAAAAAGCCCTAGAAGGTCCCGAGTTGTGCTCTGCGCAGTCGCAGAATAATTCAATTTCTGTGATTCAGACACCACAAAAAAGAATGAACTACACTGAGCCCTCGTGGGCCATCCAGTCCAAGCCCTTACCAAGAAGCAGGAAAACTGCATTCAAAGCACCCCCCCCCCCCCAGCAAATATGAGGATGCCAACTGGGAAAAGAAACATATTCAAGTGACATGATGGCAAATACCAAATTGCAGTCAGCAAGCCTCCTAGATATATATCTACTTTCACCAAACAGGGAAATCACGGGTACACCACAAGTTATCTTTGACTGAGCTGCAATTGTGCTCGCTTCGGCAGCACATATACTAAAATTGGACTGAGCTGCAATCTAAAAGCTTGAGCCAGAGTTTCAGTGAAATACCTACTGATATTAACCATACTCCCTATGGTCATACCACTTGAAATATTCAGGTTGAGAGAGAAGCAGTGTCAAAATAACAACACAAAGCACAAAATAAAATCACCCTAATGGAAAATTCAGCTAGAAGAAAATGCTAAAGACCACTCTTGGCCGAGGTTCAAAGACTATCACTATAGACTATTGGAAGCCTAACCAAGAAGGCCAAATCAGTTATGGTGCATATGAGAAAGTCAAATTGCTACCGAGTGCTCCATTGATAACGGGAAGGGGTTAAGCTCTTCCTCTGCTTAACGCTATCCTCGGAGTTAAGTCTCTTCCTTGCGAATTATCACCTCGGGTCGTAGGCGAACGGAGTGGTGCGGCTTGGCCTTTTTCGCTATAAAAAAGATAGGAGCGCGAGAGATCGGGTATGAGGAAACTGAGTGGGGGTAGAAGGAGGGGCGGAATAAGAAGTCTAGAAAGATCGAGCTGGTGTGAGGGAGAGGACTATGGGAAGAATGCTAGGGGTCAGCACGGGTGGGCTCACACGGAAGTCTCAGGAGTAGTGGGTAGAGAGAGGTA